TGGGCAATCCTACTTCTGTAGTGATACTGCCTCGGAAACCCAAGGAGGGGTCGCTATGAGTCGGGGCCAACTCAACGGCATATAACAACAACAACATACTAACTTTGTAACTTCTCTGTATATCTAAAATGAAAAGGTTATTTTTTTTTAAGTGAGGGATTAAGAGAATGTTGATATCAGAATTTGGGGCAAGAGGTAACTGAATTCAGGAATATTCGTGACTTCAAGATGAGCTGGAATTGATTATGTCCTTTTCCATAAAGAACCCCAATGAATTCAGGAAACACAGTACAAGATTCAGGAAACACAGTACAATCTTCAGCAGTGTAAGAATGCCTTGGAAGAAAGTATAATAAAGCAGTGTCATGCTACAAAGACAGCTGGGTTAAAAGGTCAGCACTACCACTCAGTAGGTAAAAAAAAAACCATCAAGTCAGATGGGTTTCTGAGGCAGTATCACTACAGAAGAAGACTGCCCAATCTTCTTTCTGAGGAGTGGCTGGTAGATTTGAACTGCCAGCCTTCTGGTTACCAGTCAAATGCCTTAGGCACTACACCACCAGAGCTCCTATAGATAGGCAGTCTGAAAAAGTTACTCTAACCTTTGCAAACCCTGATTTCCTCATCTGTACAATGCTGGTAATAATTCATATCATGTATGTTTGTTTTTTATATGGTAGTTTTAGAATCAAAGAAAAAAATTTCCCCAAACTAAAACAGCACAACTTTAAAATAATTAATGATACCAGTAACCTACCGCTGATTCACAAATGGGCTGGAAAGCTCTGCCAACAGGCGAAAACTCCCAATGTATTCCAGCACCCCATAGCGCTGGAAAAGAAACATGAAACACATCAGAGATAACATTCATATTCAAAACTCCAAATACTGTAGAAACACTTAATAGCTTTTCAGCATTAAAATAACACTTACTATCAAAATAAACAGAAGTATTTTCTACCTTCTACAGTCAAAAACATTATATATTCTTTTTGTGGATTTAGAAATATCTTTGGAGTTCTATCTTTAAAAGATAGCATATTGTCCACAGTATTCACTTTAACAAATAGGTGTCAAATAGTTGTCTCAAGTTGAACTAATGAATGTCGCAAATAGTCATTAGTAATAGGCATTAGCAAATCACCGTAGAAAGAATGATCAAAAAGTACTATGAATTTCAGAAAGAATTTTTTAGCAATTAAACCCCTAAAAGGAACTAATTTTTATAACCACTATTAAATAGAAATCTCCAAAGTGTACTTAATAGCATTCTAGATACCAATATATATGCCCCAAATACCTGTGAGATGAGCAGAGGCATTATCTATCAAACAAAACAACACATGCCAAATCTTATCTATCATATTGGACCTTAAAAATATATTTATTAATCACAAGTTTCTAATTGGGCCTTTCTGAATTTAGAAACATAATACTTATACAGTTCAACAATTTAAAGTATAGCAGAGTTAATAAACATGAGGAAAAAAAAAACCAAAAATATACATTGAACAGTTTTATTTAATACACTTTAAAAATTGCCATTAGATAAATGGAGTCAGTCCAGCACTTGCAATTAATTTGGTATTATAAGTACACAGCAAGGGAGACAGTTCCACTGCTGAAACATGACACATATACTATTTCCTGCACCTCATGGAGAAGTTTTCAAGGATGTGGGATTTTCAACACTAAAATAGGGACCAAAACACAAACCCACAGCCATCGAGTCTATTCTGACTCATAGTGACCCCCACTGGGTTTCTGAGGTAGTAGATCTTTACAGAAGTAGATTGCCCCATCTTCCTTCCATGGAGTAGCTGGTGGGTTTGAACCACCAACCTTCTGTTAGCAGTCAAATGCCTTAGGCACTGTGCCACCAGAGCTCCTTTAATATAGGGACAGACCCAAGCAAATCAAGATGGTTGGTTACCTTACTTCCAGTTTCAAAGCACTAGATCAATGATTTTCCACCCTCACTATTTGTGCAAGAGAATTATCTAGGGAGAATTTTTTAAAATTCGATTTAATTCAGATTCTTACTCATTTTGACTGGGTAGAGGCTGGGTACTGATACATTTTTAAAAGCTCTCCCTGTGACTGCAATGTGCAACTAGGGCTAAGAAACACTATCAGACAATAGTAGTTATTCTTGACTACAGATACAGCTCAGAGGGAGGGGATTAACAAGAATCTTCTTATCTCATTGCCAAGTTTGGGTACTCAGTCATATACTACCTCCATCCTTGTTTTGGTGCCTGAGCTGTGTGGATGTCCATGTATACATTTGTACATATCCACACAGACTGTACTCTCTATCCCAAGCAAACATGAGACTCCTAGGATAAGGACTCCACTACCCAATCTGATTGGGTGGCACACAAAAAGATGCTTTACACGGTGTTGGCAATTGAAAGTCATTATACATGGAGAATAAATAGTAAGCAGAAATATGTAAGTTATAGAAAACAAACAGCAATAAATTGAAGGTGAATCATTCCCTCCACCCCCATGAGTACTCCACTTAAACTCATAGGAGAGGAACCTACTTACGTCTTAAAGGGACCCACTCACCCTTCCCAAATTGTGTTGTTGTATTGTTAGGTGCCACTGAGCCAGTTTTGACTCACAGCGACCCTCGGTACTACAGAACAAAACCTGCCCAGTTCCGTGTCATCCTCAAAATCATTGCTGTTTCAGCCCAGTGTTACAGGCACTGTTTGTTCCTTTTTTTCGCTAACCCTCTACTTTACCAAGCATGGTGTCCCTCCTGATAACATGCCCAAAATACCTGAGATGAAGTCTCACCACCCTCGTTTCTAAGGAGCACTCTGGCTGTACTTCTGAAACACATTTGTTCATTATTCTGACAATCCATGGTATATTCAATATTCTTTGCCAAAGTGGTAAGTCAAAAATATCAACTGTTCTCTGGTCTTCCTTATTATTCATTATTCAGCTTTTACACGTATACATGGCAATTAAAAATACCATGGTTTGGGTCAGGTGCAACTTATTCCCCATAGCGACATCTGCCAACTTACCCATGTCCACATTGGTGTCAAGGAGCCCTGGTGGTGGAAGGGTTAAATATTTGGCTGCTAACCAAAAGGTTGGTGGCTCAAACCCATGCAGCAGCTCTGTGGGATAAAAGACCTGGTGATATGTTCCCACAAAGATTACAGGCAAAAAAAAAAAAAAAAAACAACAAACCTACAGGGCACCTCCACTGTCACATGGGGTCACCATGAGTTGGAATTTACTCAATGGCACTCAATCACAACAATTTCTGTGTTGCTGGGCAGGCACATCATGTATCAGATGTCAGCAGATGTCTCTCTCTCAGCAGGTGCCACTGGCTCAGGTTAGGTGTGGTATGGCTGTGTTCATTTTCTGTCCCAGAGACTCTCCATGGCTTTTCTTGGCTGGGTCTGGTCCCCCATGCTTACTGGTCCAGTCCTCAACCAGCAGCTTCATGATAACCCTGGGCCAATGCCAGGGGGTTAAGCAAACACTATAACAGCTCTCAGGCAAAACTATTTCATGGGAAACCCCTGTACGATGTATGTCCAAGCCTCTGTGGGCAAACTCTTGGCCCTCTCCTTATGGGGCACCCAGCTGCATTGGCAACCTCCTGTCCAGAGGTTTCCAGCTCCATTAGCAACCTTCTGCAGGGAGGTACCCAGCTCCGCTCCATGGGCCAACTTGCTCACTGCTGCTTTCTGCCAGTCTTGTGGTTCCCATTACTCACATCTCTGCTGCACAGCTCTGCTGTGCTTGGATTCATTTTTCTGCTACTCACCTCTGCTGTGCTTGCCACCATTTCTCTTGGTCTCCAGTGTTATCAGCTCAATGTTACTAGCTCAATTACTGACTGAAAAATGGCTTCTAGTTTTGTTTCTACCTTATTAATATAACCATTACCGTTACCATTGTCTTAGTTATCTAGTGCTGCTATAACAAAAACACCACAAGTGGATGACTTTAATGAACAAATTTAATCTCTCACAGTTTAGGAGCCTAGAAATTCAAATTGAAGGTGCCAGCTCTAGGGGGAGGCTTTCTCTTTCTGTTGGCTCTGGGGGAAGGTCTCTATCTCCTTTCAACATCTATGGGCCCAGCGTTCCTCGTAAAACTCCGTGTGTCTTGGCATCAGTCTTCCCTAGGGTCTAGGAGTTTCTAAGCATAGGGACCCCAGGTCCAAAAGACATGTTTCTTCTTTCTTGGTAATACTGAGGTCTCTCCTCCTCTCCTGGTATCCTTCTCCATTTATCTCTTTTAAGATAAAAGGTGATGCAGGGTACACCCCAGGGAAATTCTCTTTACCTCAGATCAGGGCTATGATCTGAGTAAGGGTATTGAACTTCACATTAATCATCTTATAACTGATTGGCTGATAAAATCAGATCACATCCTGGGGGATGATTATACCATTACAGAATTACCAAACTACTGAGAATCATGTCCCAGCCAAGCTGACACATATTATAAAAGAAAAACCAAACTCACTGCCATGGAATCAGATCTGACTCATACTGACCCCTCCTTGGGTTTCCAAGACAGTATCACTATGGAAGTAGATTGCCCAATTTCCTTCTGAGGAGTGGATGGTGGGTTTGAACTGCCAGCCCTCTGGTTAGCAGTCAAATGCCTTAGGCACTATGCCACCAGAACTCCTGACACATATTATGCGGGGTACACACAATTCAATCCCTGACAACTACCAAAATCAAGTTATTCATCATCTCTCACCTACATTACTCTAATAATTACCTAAAATCCTTCCTTCACTCGTATTTTTCTGCATAACATCATCAGATTTATTTCTCTAAAATGCCAATTGTATCAAGTTATTTTCTGGCTAAAAGTCCTATAACTACTCAATAAAACATAAAAATCCAAGGTAGGTGAGCTAGAGCTTTTATTCCTTAAGGTAGCTTTATCTTAACCCACTGCAATCAAGGAAACTGCAACTCATAGTGACCCTAAGAACAAAGTAGAACTGTCCCAAGGGGTTTCCAAGGCTATAAATCTTTATGGAAGCAGACTGCCTCACCTTTCTCCTACAGAGTGGCTGGTGGGTTCCAACACTGATCTTTTGATTTAGCAGCCAAATGCTTTTAACTATTCACCAGCAGAACACCTTATGGTTACATCTTACTCATGCAAATTTACAGCAACTCCTATGCAAATCCCGCACTTTGATCAACCTAAATCCTTAATCTCACCCATGAAGACCTGACATTGTCTCCTCAGTCCTTTTCCTCATAAGGTTTTCTGACCTAGGAAGCTTTCTCCACTTTTTTTTTCTGTCTTTCTAAGCAGAATGTATTTGTAGGGGAGGAGAATGAAGGGGAAAGGTAAGGTTGAGTTTAAGTTTCACCTACCATAAAAGCTCTCAGATAATACAAAAAGGCATATATATATATATATATATATATATATATACACACACACACACACACACACAC